GGTTCTAGTTACACTTGCATCGATAGAAATCCGATCAAATCGAGACTAAAAGATCCAAGAAGATTATAATTCTCTCGATTACAGAAGAGTTTCTTGCCGGAGAATGTCGGTTCTTGATTTAAGACTAATCTTTTTTTTCTATGCGCGCATTTTCCAAAATGTAACAACGAAAGTTCACGTTCGTTCCGTTCGTTTGATGCCCGATCGCTAAGTGTACGCGCACTTTAGTTCATAATATGGATTTTGTGAAAATTCACAGATTAACGCGAGCGGAATGCCCGCGGTTTACCAACGTCGGGGAAAGAGCGGAGACGTGTGTTCGCATTGCGCAACATCGAGGAAGCCCCGGGTTGCAATTAGGTGGCTTACATCGTCTTTTGCGTACACGTGCCTTCGCGCGGCCATTGTGACGCGGCTGGAGAAATACATGACAATTGTCCGGCGATATCAATCCAAGGAAAGTCGTAACGTCACGGAAAAAAGTGAACGAAAAAGTAACGTTGCGTGACGTCATATTAAACTATCGATGACGATTGTGACATCATACTATGTTATCGATAACAGTCGCGTTATTTCCGTGCCGCAATTGCGACAACAGGAAGGAAGGAGGGAAGTAAGGAAGGAACAATGCGGTCGTCACGTGCACCTTCTCTGTCGAAATCGCGATATACGGATAAAGCGATAAACGAAATATCCTTTGGACGTAAATATCAATGGTGTAACGCGAGTATGACGTTAATTAGAGCGGCGTGAAAATCGAGGCGTCCGTTCCTAATCTTTCCCTTAAAAGGAAAATATCGTGCGATGTATCGTGTATGGGCTCGCGTTCGTCCCTGCTCCAATAATTCGCGAGACTCGCGAGAATGCGGAGAATTACAAGTGATGAACTACCTGTCGGACTATCTGTAAAACGTTCCTTCGACATTCACGGCGCTAAGTGTTACAGGTTGATTTTAATGCCGGGTCAATCGCCAATTTTATATGATTTACAATCACGGGCAGTTGAAGAGTCAATGAGTCAGTTAAAGAGCCGTTGCAGGATGATAACTGTGAATAATTGATTGCGGGAGGACAATAAAGTGTCCGGTGAGGTAACACATGTGCTAATAAATTTGATCTTCTTCTATTTTACGCTGCTTTAATTCTTACATACAGAGGAAAAGATTTATTTGGATTTAATAAAATTTCTTTAATTGAAATCAATTTGTCTTTTGGAATAGAGCAACAAAACGAATATTTGATTCAACAATCAGGATCGTTTAGTTTCTCAAACAATGAATACCTTTTCGTCAAATAACATTTTCTTCGTATTTTTATCCAAATATTACAATGGTTGTCACAAGCGATAAATTATTCGTGAAAAGTAACATTTTGTTAGAAAAATATTAAAAAACAAAATATTGAATTACAAAAATATAAAAAAACAAGAATTTGTTTCAATGGAATAATATTTAATATAATTATATAATAAAATAAATTATTTTTATTGAAAACAAAATATTTCCTCCAAGTGATACTGCTTTTTTCTACCAAACAACATGATAATACAATATTTTCATTCAAGCAAAATAATATTTGATATTATAAATTTTCAACAAACCCAAGTCCAACAAACACGTATACTATATCCAAAGAAACCTTTTTCTCTGTGTATTTTAATATTAACATTTCCTCTGTGTAATTTAATATTGAAATTCTACAGATCCTCTATTTCCAAACGAATTGCTAAATAAACTTCAAAATTATTATAATTTTTTTAGTAACGTTTGTAATTTCTCTTTTTAAAACATTAAAAGGAAATGATTCGAATTAACTTCCTTTCCAATTCTGTATTTATCACTCACTCTAACAAATTGCCAAATGAATTTTGCGATTGATAATTTCTTTTCTTTCAATAATATTTATAATTTCTCTTTGGAAAAACTACAAGAAAACAATTCGAATTTACTCCTTTGAAATTTCCCATTATCATTCACTTATCTTTATCGTGTCATAATCATGTGGTAACGGAGTAGAACGCAAGTCCGCGTGTAATTTAGTGCGAAAAGATTCTACGCGATAGGCAAAAAGCGGTAGGAGGAATGCGAAATTATGGGGCAGCCGAGATAGGAGATTCTCCACGTGCATTATTAGGAGCAACGTCGACTTCCTCTCGCGACCCATATAAATCGGCATGGTGTACACGGTAAGAGACTTACGCGCGAGCGTATGTATCGGCGCAAGTATACGCGGGTATACATCTCTATGCGCGAAAGGGACTTTACTTTCTCAAGCACGCGACCGCCGTCACTCCATCGGCAGCTCCTCTTACTTTCTCCCGCGCGCGTTTTAAAAGTAGGTCCCAAATAGGATTAAGCGATCTTTGAAGAGCCACTCGATCCGCCGCTACTCGTGTTGCTCACGCCGCCACCGCTGATCGCATTGATGAAAATAATCGTGACAATGACAATGGTGACGAGGGAGGAAGTCGCGGCGCGCGATAACGTTCTTTTCCGTCGAACGTGATGAAATACGTGAATGAATGAAGTACAGGACTTCTAGCGAGTTTTTCCCGGTATCGTGATACTTTTTTTACGATATGCTTATTCTTACCCATTCACGAACACGGGGGAAAAAAGACCGTGGTCGGATTAATGAAGGAATCGAATGTGCTTCGGTCGAGGGCAACAGAATTTCTGCCTCCTGTCAACCAAATTTCTTCTTCTTCAAACCAGAAATTTCTTCAACGTGTTTGGGTTTCTTTCACAGAAATAGACGTTTATTTAAACACGGCGAAATAAAATGTTATTCCTAGCAAATATAAACAAATTAATAAAAAAACAGGTATGTTTATATATTTCACAAAACTATATATTCCGTCATCACAGTCAAATTTCTTCCTAACCAATAAATATCGAAGAAAGTGCCACAAGAAACATTTACTTCGCGAGATTTCAATTTCTTTTTCTCAGTGTAGTGTCAAATTATTCACGAGTTTATCTTCGTTAAACTTTCGCATCGGGTGTTTCGGTCGATCGAGTCTATCGGACTCGAGCCGGTGATTGCAAAATTTGCCGGGAACAAAACAAAATCAGCTTAGCTCGGCTCGCGTGTGCGTCTCCACTTGGTAGTTAATAAATCGAATACAAAGCGACGAGTCTCGCGCGCGCCGCTTGTTGCACAGATTATCGGCTTTCTAATCGATAATCTCCTATGAGCAACCCCTGCGTCCGCTCCACTTACGTCCTCGTAGTGTCGTGGACGGTCAATTACCCTCGCGAATGCATTCCATGATGCTGCAATGAATAAAACGCAAGCCCGTCCCGTCTTCCCCTCAGCAAAATATATCCTTTTAATATCTTCGCGCGCGCGCGATTACACATCAGGGTAATATCTTTCTCTTGTTTATGTTTTTTTCTAGAACATCGTTTTTCTTCTTTTCCACAGATCGTGGATATCTCGAGCACGCGCGTGTTTGATCATTGGCTCACGTTCACTTCGTGAACAGCTACGAAAAATTGCACGAATTGAATTTTACGCAGAGACGTTCGTCTGATCGCGTTCTTATCGGGCTGGTTTTGCTAGCCGCTAATTACGCTCGCGTGTATCGACGAGATTTTGGTACACGGTTTCAGGTTTTTTCCCGCGTGTCTTTCCTTACATAGCGCTTAGCCCCGCTTTCGTCAGCGAAAGTGAATCGGACGAGACGACGTTTCTAACCGGGCAATCGGAGACCGCTCGTAATCTCGATATTCCATACACGTCGAATAAATATCCATCGTAAGTCTCATAATGGAGAAATAAAAGGCGAAGTAGGGTAGGCATTGTAGATTATGAATAAAAAAATTAGAGAGATCGGGTCAGCTTAATAATATCAATAAAATTGATTGTGAGTAGAAGAAAATCCTCATCATTTCTTCGTTAAACTTTTACAATTTATATAGTAGCGGTAGGACTGTAACAATATCATTCTCCATTATATGTTTCTTATACAGAAAAAAAGTTTCTTTGGATTTAGTAAACGTGTTTCTTTGACTTGGATTTTTTTAATATGAACAATGTATAATTTAATATCAAATATAACTTTTTAATGAAAATGTTATTTCACTAAACCATGTTGTTTAATAGAAAAAACGTTTGATAAAAAAAAAAAAGTATTACAGAAAATGTTGACAGAAAATAATATTTCGTTTTTCGCGAAGAAGAATTATTTCGTCACATATTAAATATCGTTCCACTAAATCAAAGAAGTTCACCAATATTTTTCCAACTCAGTGTTACTTCTTTCAAATACTTCATTGCTTGCGACAATCATTGTAATGTATGGAGGAAAACAAAGAAATATGTTATTTGACGTAAAGATGTTTATTGTTCGAGAAACCGAACAATCCTGTTTGCTGAATCAAACATTCGCTTGTTTGTTCTACTCCAAAAGACAGGTTTCTTTCAATTAAAGAAACTTCATCAAATCCAAAGAAACCTTTTTCCCTCTGTGCACATCGCTATTAACATTTCATCCAATCGTTTCAAATTGTCTTAGAGGCATGAGTTTCATACCGATTAAGGTAAATTTGATTCCTCTTCAAATGCGGACACCAATTTCCCCGCATTTCCGCATTAATAATATCACACTTATAACATTTATACTTTTACATTTATTAACATTAACAATAATATACATAAGTGCAATTTTCAGCAATCATCGATGGTCGGTCAAATCAGGGTTCTCCAATTACGCTGATCGGACCCATTCGGACGCATTCGCTGCCACACTGAACACTTACTTTCGTATCTCTGGCTGCTTAAACTTTCTTTAATACCCGCGCTCTTTAAACCTCGCCGACACTGGTAGAGATGGCGCAACATATTCCGCCGAAAGAATAGATCCAAGAAAAAAAGAATAGCGCATTAGTAAGCAGCTGTAGTATCGGCGGTCACGTGCTTGACTATGGTATGCGCTTAGCAATGGGCTATCAAATCCAGGATGACCGTGACGTAATACCCGCCGCGAGTCAATGAGAGCGGAGTCGCGCGCGCGCGCGCTCTCTCCGATGTTGGCAGCAGTAGCGGATCAGCTGTTTCGCGCGGATTCTCTCTCGCTGTGGTTTAGCTGCGCTCCGGGAACGTGATCGGCAATTTAGCGGAATGAACTTGTTCAATCGACTGCCACGACTCTCTCGTCTGAGCGCTCACCATCGCCAAAATGTAAGCCGATAGAGTTGAACGTCGCGAGAGCTTTTGTTCTGTGACTCGCCCGTAACTCGTCTTCTCCTAACCTAACTACGCCTAACCTAAACGCGATGTCGTAGATGAAGTAATTAATATTTCTCCGCCACGAACGCACAGTACAATGTTTTCATCGCGGGGGGGATCAGTCCTGGCCGAAAGGCTCGACTAATTAACGATCTACTTCGGAATCGTGACCTTGTTATAGACAGAGAAAGTCTCGTTAATCACGGTGATAATTGCAGTGGTAGCTGGATGGTTCGCTGATGTTGCATCTATTATCGAGGATAGAGCCGGTCTGAGAATATTCTGATAACTTCTCGTCTGACCGCAGGAGCAATTACTAAAATTAAATGAATCAGTACAGATCTTCCACGTGTTATTGGTTCTAAATTAAGTTCAAGTTTAAATTTGAAATAATTCCAAGGAAAATTCTATTACGGGAAAATAGTGATATCAAAATATTTCATTGTCTGTAAGATAATGTAACAGAAGCAGCGTAAATTTCAGTTTTGAAGAAGAAGTGACATTCACTGACTGTCACTCTGCTTTGATACTGACTCAGCGATGTGCCGTTGCTTTCAGATCTCTCGCTTCTGCACGAAAACCGAGGAGCCGGCAATTCCCGTGAATCCGCTGAGGGAGACGTACAGTGCCAGTGATCAGCCTGGTAACGGGCTAATATACGACAAGAAACCTTTCAAGTTACATCTGGAGGCCGGCAAGAATTATTCGTGGTGTCTCTGCGGGCATAGTAAGAGTCAGCCACTATGCGATGGCACGCACAGGAACATCTTTTTCAAGATCAAGCTGAGACCCATACGCTTCACCGTCACCGAGACCAAGGAATATTGGCTGTGTAACTGTAAGCAAACGTCGAACAGACCCTTCTGCGACGGCACGCACAAGAGACCCGACATTCAGGAGTTGAAACGATAGGAAAGGTGAAACTCTCTTGCGAAGTTGCGTAATCAACGTACAAATATCGTAAATCTTGGGCGCAAACGCGCGAGATAAAGACTTGCTGTACGTGTAATTACACGATTGCCATTTGCATTTGGATATATCTGCTGCGATGTATATAATATGTTTGTCGCTGGGTAATTATTGCCAATACATATGATGTACACACTGCGATGTTATCTTTGATATTTCAATAAAACGTCAGGAATTCGTATCGTGTAACAAACGGACAAATAAACGTTTTTCCAACCTGTTTTCCAGAAAATTCGGGAAACTCGGGGTAACACGGGGACGCTAAGAACAAGGCTTAATAAAAGAGAAATAATTTTAATGGAGGAATTTTCTTTTTTAATTTTTTGACATTAATTAAACTTCGACATTATATGACCAAATCGAGATCAAAAGAAATAAAGAATGGAAGAAAACTTTTTTCAGGAAAACTCTTTAACTTCATCTTGCCTTACAACTTGAGGTAAAATGGAATAGCGTTGAGGATAAGGTGAAATAGTTGAAAGCAAGATGATTTCGGTCATCACTGACATATAAACACGAATAAATTTTACTTTTTTTCCTCATGTGAAATCATGCACGAAATTCGCGTGTTCAATGCTGACAAATCTGACGAATCACTCAGTCTTCCACAGACTATGAATGCAAGCCTGCGCAATACATGCACTAAATAATACCAGCAAAGCGACACAAAGTGATTTAAAAATATAATAGTAATGAAAAATTATTAAGATAATATAGGAATTTTACTGCATTCAGTTGACCCTTTCTTGTCCCAAGTAGTAGATATGAAACTACGCGCGTTTTATACAATTACGGAATTGAATTGACACAAAAAACTAATCTACTATAAAATATAACATATTATTTGATTTACTTAGCTATTTAGACCCGGTTTTTCTGGCCGACTTGCAGTTTGGGCTTAATCTGATAATAATGCAAAAATTGCTTGTCTATTCATGGTTAATTTTTAAACTGATAGTTTTGTAATAGTAACTTTTAAAGTTTAATCATTAGCCATGAAAAAAAAAAGATTTTTTACATCATCAAATTGTGCTTAAATTAACTAGAAAATGAAAAACCGAGCCTTAGTATCGTATCACAAATAGATTTATTGTTTTCCGCAAACTCGTTCGAACTTGCATAACCCGTTATTGTTCGTCACAGACAAGCACGTTGATTCGCTTCTTACAAGTCCAAGCCTATAGTTGGATAATTACTTCTATATAACGTATTTCCCTTCTCACCACGCTACACCGTCTTGCCCCGAGTTCCGCTGCTCGCGGCAGCAAATAAATCGCGACGCAGCTGCAAAGGCGGATCATACTTATGCATAAGAATAAACCGAAATGAGATCATCGTGGAAGATAGAAAATACCGAGATTCAATCACTGTATCCTGCCCCGCACCGAATTCACGATCTCCGCCGATTCAGGCGCGATTATCTTGTCGCTCCGATTGACGCGCGCTTCCGAAGTCGGAGATGCGCGTACCGCTCGCTGCTGCCTCGTCGGGGAAAAGCGAATTCAGTCGCTTCGAAACAGTTTCAATCGCATTCTTCGAATCGGAGATTCGTTCTCACGCGATGCTGATCGTCAGCCTGTCGTCGCTCTTATTGACCATGCACGCGGCACACTCGGCCGTCGGCGATCGTTGCTGCGAGATCAATTACCACGAGCTGCCGCAATACGAGCTAATAAAGAAGAATTCGCGCTCGAAGCAGCCGATCATATCGCGAAAAGTGGTCTCCAACGTGAGCGAGTGCGAGCAATTCGCCGCGTCGAAGAAGTCCCTCGCCTTCAATTTCGTTTCCGCGAGGGATCGTGCCGGTATGCGAGTAGCCAGGCAATTAGATGTAATTACGCGAGGTGTAATTAAAGTTAAATTTTACACGATACCTCCCGCGAAAAACGTAATTGCGGCGAAGTATAACGCGCCACGGCGCGAACGCAAAGCACCGTGTAATTATCGTATTCAATTAGTGGAATTAATCTGTATGTTTGCAATTTCTCCATCCGGCCCATCCTGCGACGCGCGGCGGTTTCCTCGCAGGAAGTTGGGAAAATACGTGCCAGGCTCTTCAGTGCCCGGAGGATCACAACATGACCACTCTCACACCGGCGGCGAATCACAAATATTACAGCATGTATCCAGTTTTCGTTCCGCCAGGTAATCGCAATCACGAACGTCAGACCGCGGTCACGAACGGTGGGCGAACGTGCTCTCGGAATTCACAACTTAGCGAATCAGCACGTGCGTCCGGTCTCATTTTCCAGGAGATAGATTCTCGTAATGCTTATTAAACAATCGTGGGACGTAAATTGGAGTAAACTTTACTTTGAAACGCATCGCACGTCACAAACGGGTCGTTCACGATTTTACTTTATCAATGGTACCTTGATTTCTCTTTGATAAATGATAAGAAATCCATCAAATGTTTGATCATATTAAATAATGAACTATTATGTGTATATATATATATATATATATATATTAATTGATCCAACATTTGATGAATAAATATTAAATAATGAAATTCTAAAACTTCAAATCTGTCGTAGAATTGTACTGCAATAAAAGCCGTTCAGCTAAATTTGTCCAAAAACGACAAACCGTTGCCTGGCGCCATCTAGCGGCGTCAAGAAGGAACTCGAATACCGAAAGTTTCGAGTCTCGACTGTGTTAAGGTTCGAGTCTTGGGTAATTTTTAAAATTTTTGTTAATTCTGAAATTTCCATTACGAGCCGGTTTCGTCGAACGATGAAAGTCTTAATGAGACTCAACGAGAGATCGAACGAATCGTTATTTTCAAGCAACACACATACATCAAAAGACCTGTGTAGAGAAAGAGAAATTTTGTTGGACTTGATAAAATTTCTTTAATTGAAGCAAATTTACCATTTGGAATGGAGCAAACAAACGAATGTTTGATTCAACAAATAGGGTTGCTTGGTTTTTCAAATAATAAATATTTTTCTCTTTACGTCAAATAACATATTTCTCTTATATTTTCACCCAAGCATTACAATGGTGGTGACAAATAATAAATCGTTTGAAAGAAGTAATACTATGTTAGAAAAATATCAAAGAACTTCTTTGGTTTCGGTAAAACAATGAAAAACAGTGAAATATACTTTTTTATTGAACACCAAATGTATTATTTCCTCTAAATAATACAGTAGTTTCCCATTAAACAACATGGTTCGCTCGAATGAAGCGATAACATTTTCATTCAAACAAAATAATATTTAATATCACATTATATTGTTTACATTAAATAAACCCGAATCAAACAAGCACGCGTACTAAATCCAAAATACTTCCATCCTGTATCTTCAAATAATACGATTCAACGGTAGATTAGTAGGATTTTCGCTAAATTTTACATGAAATTTTTGATAGGAGGATTCAATAGATCGAACAAACCATTGGATCAGGCAAACCATTATTATTTTACGCGACGAGGATTATTTTCAGATAACACAACGGTGAAGTGCATTCCCAAGGCGGGAGTATTTCTGTTCTCCTCCGACCACTTGAATTACACGCAAGCTCGGACTTTCTGCCGAGAAAGGAAAGCCTCGCTCGCGCATGTGATCAGCGAGGAGCGCACAGAAGGCTTGGCGAGGTTCGTTTCGCCGAGTACTCCAAGATACGTGGGCCTCAGCAACATTGACAGTGAGAGAATCTGGAAGAACGAATTCGGTACGCGCAGCTTCCTTTTCACATTTATTTATTGCACGCGTACGACATTTGTACAGGAGATTTTTATGACAAATTCTCGCAATTTTCTCTCGAAATATACTTCCAAAAGTCTATCTGTGTTAGCGATAGAAGAATGACGAAATACATTTTTTCTCGACAGGCGAACCCCTGTCGTGCTTCGATTATCGAGCATGGGGCGTAGGACAGCCGTCGCACTCCAAAGGCTGCGTTGTCCTCGCAAGCTCACCTGTCAAGGGCACGCCGCCCTCTTGGGAAGTCGCGCCCTGTTACATATCATTACCCTTTATTTGCGAAGTTATACCTTTGCCGATTCAACAACGTTCGTCACGACGACGTCACAAACAACGTTCGTCACGATGACGTCACAACATCGTCGTCGCTAGTAACACGAACGCAGTCACAATACAGTCCATAGTTGCACACGCATGTAATTAGAATATACATATACATATACATACATATATATATATATATATATATATTTCATGTGTAACGAATTTAATCTACGAATGAAATTCGTCACTTGCAACAACTCAGTGAAAACATTGCATTATAATGTCATACAGTATGCACATTACAAAATATAATGTATAAAATATTAAATAATTGTTATAAATATATAATTAAATTATATATAATTATTAAATAATTAAATTATAATTGTTTAAACGATAAAAACGAGAAGTAACGAGGCAAAACTTAACGCGTATTCTCCGAAGCAACAAAGGAATAGCCTTTGTCGGATCGCACAGGATATCCTGGAAACTTCGCGCTTGACTTTTACATGCAATAAGGACACCTTTCCGTGCATCGCTCTCTTTCGAGGCGGTGACTGACAAAGAAGGTCGGAATGAAGCAAGCAATTAAATATGTACAAAGATTTAATGTCAGGACTACAGGACTCCAGTATTTTTTTTGCTTCGCACAGTGTGTGTGTGTGTGTGTGTGTGTGTGTGTGTGTGTGTTAATGTAGGGAAAGAGGGAGAATTCACTCCGATGGCTTTTTATTTACAGGTACGATATCATCGTTAAAACACGGCATGTATGCACGATTGAGACACGAGATACAGGAGGAAGGGAAAATATATATATGTAAATATATATATATATATATAACTCTCACTCGTTAGCTCATTACACATATATGTACATAGGCCTAACGTGAATATATAACATTAAAAATCGGTATGGTTCGCCCCAACGCGCGGGAGTCGGCTCGTCCGCTCCCACCGATCGATTCTCCTTACATTCTAGAGCATGCTTTCTACAGCGATATCACTTAACAACTAGGTAGCTAGCAGCAGCTGCTGTGCGATCGCTCTTCGATAGGACACTTATCGAGGACACCTTCCTTTCTCCCTTCTCCTTCTCTTTTATCGCGAGACGCACGCTGCGCCGACGCGTAAGATATAAAAATGTCCCGTCCACCCCGATAAGATTCGATGCCGAGCATCAACAATAATGGAAAATAAGTTTCACCGTTTATAAGTTTAGCAGGTTCCTCGCGGGGGCGATGCTCGCTCGCTCGCGTAGTGCCGATAGTGGTCGAAAGCGTATAAGAAATTGTACCATGATTAATAATACATCGGTCGATTAGGTGAATCGTTAATCCAACTGCGTGTTAGAACAATAATAGTGCACTTGGGACGCGATTCTTTTGGATGCAATGTCTCTCTCTCTCTCTCTCTCTCTCTCTCTTCCCAGCTAGAAATGAAAAGTCAAATAGACGTCGATCGTAATGGTCTATCGATGGTCGAGATTTGTAGTCGATTCAACTTAAATATAGACATAAATTTCGACCAGTCATCGATATTAATTACTATAATTACAAAATATTATTTGCCACAAAATTATGTCGATATAAACGAGATAAAAAGACTAATGTTAGATTATTTTGTCTAAATAAAAAAAAATTGCCACTTTATCTTTTACATCTTTTCATCTCATAATGAATCCTTTCGTAGATTTTATCCTGAATAGTGGTCACCCCATCCTTTTCCTAACCGTGATCAGCATTTGCTTTATCTCCGTGGTCTAACAGGAATCTGTCCTGGCGATATCTCGGGGATTATGCTTATAGATATTGTTACATCTTTTCGGAGTACTCTTGTATCTTGCATCTTTCAAAAAATACTGTAATAGCATAATGTTGGCAAATCTTTGAAATAACGTAGGAACAAATGAAACGGAAATTAACATAACAACAACTTAAAACAACGACGTCGACGATTACCTATATTATGATTTTTATCTATCTTATCTATATTCTTTTACCTACTGTTACAACTGATTAGGACTTTTTTCAGCTTCTTTACGACTTGGAAACTTATAGAAATGTTTTTAATTGTCCAATTGAAATAAAAGCAATATTTGTTACAAGGTCAAAAATGACGAAAATATCGACTGATATTCGACATCGACTATTCGTCGATCGACTTTTCGTCTCTTTCTTTCTCTCTCTCTCTCTCTCTCTCTCTCTCTTTCGCACATTTTCACGATGCACGTGGAGAATCGGAGTGATAATGATACAAGGTGGTCGTATTTACAAATTAGCGGGCGCGTTTAATTAATTAATTTTCCCTCGAAGCATCCGTATTTTTTTTTGTCGACAGCGATGCGGAGGGAGGAGGCGTGTTTACGTACGGGATGATAACATGTGTAAGTACGGATCATAACTAAACCACCAAAGTATACTCTCTCTCTCTCTCTCTCTCTCTCTCTCTCTATCTCTCTCTCTATCTATCTATCTATCTATCTAGGTTTATACCTCAAAAAACGATCGCGCTGTGCCGTTGAGAAGAGTTTAAGTGCGTTTCAAGTACAAGTGCAATGAATCGGATCGCGAAGAGTTCGTTACGAAGGGAAGACGATGTAGCTGTGATTAAGAGTGACGAAACGACGACTGATCCATACTTAACGAACGAGTTGTGTATTCGTTGTAAAAATATCGTCGTGTAAAAAAGGCGCGCTCGCGCGTTAATGAAAACGGAAACCGAAACACCCGTCAATTTGAGCTCCCAGCAGCGCACGCTGATCGGATGAACGGCCTTACTTAAGTAGCGAGACGTAATTGTAACGCGATTACAAAAAACAGCAAAGGTGATCTGCCGAGCTCGAGCTTAACAACTATGTTATTATTTATTGTCACGCGTCGTGTCTGCGAGGAGTGTGCATTGTGACGATGGTGTCGCGTTTCGCAAACAGAGGCCCTCCGTTCGTATGTACGAACACGAGTGAACATATTCCACGTAAAAGTGTTGTCGCGTTTGAAACCTTTCTTTTTTTCATTTTTTCCTTTTACCTGATATATTCTGCGGCGTGAATATAAAAGTATAAAAGATGTGCGACTTCTCTCCGCGGTGAGAGTGATACAATAAGACTGCGAGAACGTTCCGTCGTCGTGGTGTGGTCTCGTTTATTTCGAACATTGTTTTTCGTTTCTGTCTTCTTTTCTTTTTTCTTTTTTTATAAGCATGGTCAGTGTTAGATGCCAATTAAGAGAGTGGTATCCTTGATATCACATTGGAAACGAATGTGTCAAATTTGGTGCATACCACAAACCAAAGCAGTCTCGCATGAAATTGGACAGAAAGAAAGTGGTTCGCGAAATCATCCGCGCGGTTCTACCGGGTCAGTCGAAAGGATTTTCCAGTCAAAATTTTCACCCTGTTGCGCCCAAACGGAAACGAATGATTCATCGACAGAGCAATCGTTGTTTATGATTTATCACCAAAGTTCTGGTGGCATTTGCATGCCTCTAGAAGATAAAATAGGTCGTAGAAGATAATAGGTGGATTGTCGATTCGTCAAAATCGATTCCGTCAAAGAAGGTGGAAAGTCAAGCCGAACTTTTTGACTGACCCAATATTTCCCAGACACGAACAGGCCTCTACGTTGTTGAAGGCGATTTCGTTAATCAATTACAGCTCGTCGAACTTCGTGGAAGCTATTCTCGCGATTGCACACTCGTTTGCACGGCTCACAAATGCTTTTTCCGATGAAGTTTGGAGCGCGTCAAATAGTCACGATCGCGAGCTGTTCCCCATGTTGAAGTCGCATATAGTCTACCAGTACAAGACACTGGCACGGGCTGGCATAAAAAAAAAAAGCGAACGTTATGTAATATCTCACTAATTTTACTAAAATATTAAAAGACCACGTTTAAACAAACTATTTGTCTTGTTTTCTCTACATAAAAAACATGTGACAATTGATCCTGGGTATAGGATCAATTGAGATGTCATATTTGCGCGACCTTGTTTACAATTAAATAACTTATTTGTGCATAAATATATAGATTAATAATTATAAGATAAGATTAATATTTCTTTTCTTTTCTTCTTATCTAAAGGATATGGCTACATTATAACGTACATAATATCATGAAATATCGCATACAACTTTCTCTTTTAATTAGTGTGTAACAAGTGTGACAACCAGACCCGGCCTCTCTCTACTGATATCCAGTATTATGGGTGACCATAAATCGATATTGAGCCAGTACCTCGCTAATAGCAAATTCCTACTTGGGTCATGAGTTCACGTGGTGTCAATCAGTTATGACAGGAGCGGAAGTGATAGTATACGAGACACCCGACGACAACTGCAACGGAAGATTCAGGAAACATTTAAGTATTTTTATTATATTTTTACCGATCAGATAAGAGTATAATAAAGGGCCATTATTTACACCGTATACTGTCATTCGACTTCTGTCATTGCCATTGCCAAGCAAGCTCGTCCGTGACTTCATAGGAAAAAAACCGATGCAGACCGTTGTGCGGACGAGTGTATCTCGCGGCGCAAGTTTTTCTTTTTTTTTTTCCAAAATCCAGTACACGCGCGTATCGATCTACTTTAAAGTAACAAACGCGCTACAGATGATACACTAGCAATGATAATTTCTTTCCACAAGGAAACAAATAAAAAGAAACAAAACGATCGCATTAAAAACTATTCAACATACAGGGTTTTAATTAAGAAATGCATTTATAAGGATATTATAGCCTTAAGATAAGGGGAACAACTTATGTGATGAATCTGTTCATTGATTTCCTTTCGACGTTCGGGGACGGACTTTTGATACACAATCGATAACAATAAAGACGCACGTCATTATCAGTGAAATCAATTTGACAAAAAGGAGTATTCCGCAAACTTAAATGCAAATATAGACTTTCCTCTCGCGAGATTTATTAGGGCTATAAAAGCGTCAATATAAATACGGTCGAAGCGTATTCGCGAGACACACCATTGAATGACTGAGAGTCGCCCCAGAAAAGTATAGATTATCTTGTATAAGCGTTAAATACTGCGTGGTTCACGTACGAATGGTGATTCAATGAATGGGTGCATCTATAAAAAATGGATTGAGTGAATAAAATCTTAAATCCTGCCAGACTTCTCACAATGTATCGTATGTTACATCGATCTCACGTGATCTCTTTAAAAAGGGGAAAAAATCAACGGAAAAGAATAAAATATACATATGTATATAGATATATCATTTGTATCAACCTGACTGCTATCGGAGGAAAACCTTTCAGTCCGCTATTGTTAGCTAAAGCATCAACTATGTCTCGTGAAATACCGATATAAAAAATTAAATAACGTTTCTCGTTTCTCTCGTATTCCTCTTTCATATAATCTATAAATCTCCGTTACTTTTACCACATCCACTTAAAATTCCGTCTCGTCATAAAAAAATAAAAACATCATCTCTCTCTCTCTCTCTCTTTCTCTCTCTCTTCTTCATATTCAACACGATTCGCGAATCATTCACATCGAATAGACCGGCTAATGCTGTCGTTTTCTCTCTCGTTTCTCGTCTTTAAGTGAACTGCAGTGCGCCTAAATTTATCGTTCTCTCACGATACACTTTCATTCAAGGCAACAGAAGCCTTTTCCTTACGAATCTCTCGCTGCCTCATTCCTATACGTGTACATTATAACCATGCGACACACTACGATATATCACATATCGCGTTATTAGCACCGTTTCAAAGACATACCCGAAATGGAATATGCTTCGATAAGCGGGTGGAAAATAATGGCTCGACGTACGCGTCGACTTAGGCTTGTACGGGTCATTACTAGTCACTTATTAGTCACAGTTCGGTGATATATCACTCGCCGGCGATCGATGGGGGATCATTTATTCCCTATCGTCGAATGAGGCGTCCCGGTAAAACGCGGCGAACGAAAACGAGGCATCCCGGACAAATGCTTTGCGTTGGCACACGGATCACTCAAGAAACTTACGGCAAATCATCACACAATGATCGCGAGGCAGCTGTATTCGTTGGACAAAAATGATGAGAGGATCACAATTATGTGTTCTTGCGCCCTATCGAGAACTACGGGATTTAAGTACTCGTTTTCTCCCTCTATGATGTATTCTCGCTTGACAAAGTTAAAATTAAAATAATCACGCGATCCGGCGTAAATTCCCTTAGAAGATACGCCGCTCGAGTAATGTATAAAAAGAAGAAAACAACAAATTAAACGTAAATTAATAAAACTGAGCACGGCCACCCACCTGGAAGGACACTTGCGCTATTTTCTCTCTTTCTTACTTTTTTTTTTCATTTTTCGAACTTCGCGTCGCAAGTTTTGTCGTGCTACTGATATCATGTGGGGGATGGTTTCGTCGCAACGATTTAGAATATGTGCAAATATACATTTGAGGATTTGTGTCGCAAGTTTCTGATATGTGTCGTGTGAGTTCGAAATTGAAGGGAATGGAATAGTTATACACAGTTAAAATCGCCGCATTTGCGGCCGCGAACGCTACGGACAAACAGTCGTAAAATAGCCGGGATTATCAAGACGGGGGAAGGGGAGGGGGGCACAACGGCAGTCGGAGTGAGATCTGTTAAAATTATCGGCAACCAGATGACGGGGATATTATAATACTTCTACAGGCGAAGACTGTCGTATGGAATGTTGCGTTTTTAACCGGTCCACACGAATACTGCACTGATGGAGCAAACAATAAACGGATGCTACCAGAAAACTGAATAAATACATAACAACATTAATATAGTAATAAACATTACATGCTAGCAGCAGCATTAGTTTCTTTCCCATTAATGGCGCAATGAGAAAACAACACACTGGTAATATGGGCAGATAAATATACTATCGATTTCCCTCTCTTTCTCTTTCACTCTCTCATTCTCTCTCTCTCTCTCTCTCGCTCTCTCTTTTACGCCGATATACGTATTATACTTTGTTGTTAATCGATGCATTCGCGAGGAGAGGTACGAGCTGTTCGGAGAGCTGTCCTACCGTCAGTTGCAATACTGCTTGCTTCTCTTCTAACGCGGCGACCTTGTTGAAGCAATTTCAATTAATGTCGCGGCGTGTTCACGTAAATTTACGGCATATTGACAATTTGCCGACACCACGGATTTTACTTACCCTTTCCAACAGTTTGCTGTAGAGGGCATATGGAACGTAGGCCGGCTGTCCGGATGGCGTAGCCGGACTGTGGTCAGCGTGGGGGCTCGCGTCGGCTCTCGGACTTTTGGTCTCTTTCTGTTTGCTATCGTCGTTATCGGCATCCGCTTTGTCGACGGAATCCGCGGCGTTCGTTGGCGTGATCAATCTGCCGAGCAACAATGCACACACATTACACGCGTATCGTGGAAAATGACGACCGATTGCCGCAGAAAGCCGAAAGGTACCGTGAGAAAGTTCGTTCCTTCTTCACTTCCGCCTTGTCCGTTCGTTCGACCGCTATCTTCTTCCTTTCCATTTGATTCATCTTCAGTTCCTCGACCTGTGATGAAATCGGCGGTATCAAAGACAGTAACATTCCAAGAAATCATGTACTCAGTTTTCACTTTGTTTCAATCAACGACGAATTACCCATGGTGCTTTTCTCCTCGCTTTCGCCGCGAGCCCGTCCGTCTCTTCGTCCGGTATTTGTTCCGTGTCGGCGCGCCCATTGAATAGGTCATCCTCCTACGAGTTATCAAAGAAAATGAAATTACATCATTTTCGTTTATCGAATCAACGGATAGCGGGTTTTCTAAGGACACGTTACGTTCACAAAGTCGTTTCATTGACTAGACTTAATTCTCTAGCGATAAGGTTGGATGCGACCCCCCGGCTCGTTTATTTTACAGCGTGCACGTACCGCTTCTCTTTTCAAGGAACGCTTCTTGTTACCATTTACTTCTTTTACCGATTTTCTACACTCTCCTAGATACGATGAAAATCCACTTTCTCCCATTAGAGGGTTACGATCATTTTTAAGACAATACTTAACCAATAAGAGGACTTTGTTAACGTGACGGGTCTTTGCTGGAAAACACGTAGAATTGGCAGATGAGCATACCGGAAGTGCTGGGAATGTAGTGCTGAGAACAGGCAGCATCGGGGGTGCGCTCACACCGGACCCAGCGGTGTAATAGCGCAGATATTGCGAAGAAGGCAGGCGTCGGCGGGGCGCTTTAGCGCGAGAAGCTGTCAAGTGCAATAGCGGCGCGCCTTCCCCTCGCTCCACGCCATCCAGCTCCTCGCCCAAAGCGGCACTCGTGTTGCCGATACCGTTATTATTCCCCACGTCGCTCACGAGACGTTTCAGGCTCGATATGATCGAGTGGCCACCAGTCGCTTTCTTATCGCCGCCTCCGCTTCCGGTGCTCGTCAACGACGACACGGATGACAATGACGTCGATAAGGCCTTTTTAGTGCCGTCTATGACGGGGAAGTGATCTGACGGGGCACAAAATTGCGCGTCGCAACGTTATACTCGCGACGACATAGAGATACAGTCGCTTCGACGGTGAATTTTACCTGATATATTACTCGGATGCATATTCTTGGGATCCAGACTTATCCTCACGTGCGCCTTCTCGCTTTTCTTCAATTGATGGGAATGCCTGATACTCGACTTTATACTGACCGATGCTGATTCATGCCACTGTTCCTGTTCCTGCTGTTCATTCTTCACGCCGATTATCTCCACGAAGTTATCAGGAAACAAGCCCACTTGTCCCCTCAATTCTCCCTTCCACCAACCCTACGTAAATCATTATACTCTTCTGTATTGATATATTCCTCAGATATGTATGTATTATATACTTCATATGCATATATTTCATCATATATATATGTATGTGTACACACGCACACACATATATATAGTCATAATTAACTTTCATTAATTTATCAATAGCGACCAGATGAATTACAAACCTTGTCTGGTGCATCCTTGGACAAAAGTGTGACGATCTCTCCCTCAACCAAGGTGAGTTCGTCCTCGTTAGCAGCCTCATAAGGAAAGAGTACTCTGTACAACTCCTTCTTATCTCGATCCTTGTGTTTGTCCTGTTCCTCAAGAACAGGTGGGGACACAAAGTTCGAGGGGAACACACCGACTCTGCCCCTGAGACGACCCCTCCACCATCCCTCTTCCACTTCTCCCATAAACTCGATGGAGTCTTGCGGCACTAGGGTTAACTCGTCCTCGTTGCAAGGTTCATAACTGTAGAGGACTTTGCACAAACGTCTGCCAGATCCGTTTCTCAAAGTAACTTCATCGGGTTTGACGTTGTTCACAGTCTCACTGTTGCTACCGCTGCTACCACCACTGGTCGCAGATGACTCTAACACCTGTGTGCATACCCACGATAAGTGTATCAAAAGGTCTGGCTGTTCCCCTCGCTGAACCAATGTACACTTAGAGAACTTAAAAACAGACAGACATACAGACTCGATCGAAGAAAGGGGAGAAGAAAACAGTACAAGCTAAAGTTTCTTCTTTGTCGCTGAACCAGCACAGACCTTCGCAACTTAAAAAGAAACAGGTATATAGCTGTGACTTTGTGTAAGAAAGAGGAAAATCGCGCCGGTTAACACAATTAGTTCAGCTACGAAGAACAAACCTCAGGTACCGATTCAAGGAAGAAGAACAGACCTTTGAGCACACACACGAGCAAGAAACACAAACTAGACCCACCTTAACAAAGTTATCAGGAAACATGCCGCGCTTGTCGCGCAAGGTGCCCTCCCACCATCCCCCGAGCATCATCTTGATCTCGGTGATGATGTCACCTTTCTTCAGAGTCAACTCGTCGTCCTCCTGTGCCACGTAGTTATACTCCACTATCGCCTCCATCCCGGGAAACGACGTAGGTGCGAGGTGTATCTGCGGGCAGACAGCGGCACACTTGCCTCACCATGCGACGGCGACGAGCGTTCGATCGACGAGATCGCTCCGGACGCGCGGTCAAGGTGCGAGAGGCGGCGAAGAAGTCCGGCGTTCGAGGAGTCCGGTGAGCGTCCGCGAGGGGAAACGGGTCGCCAGCATACGCGCGAGTACGTGCGAGTCACGAAGTGACGCGCGGTTCGCCGTGCGCTTCCCGAGTGTCTCGCTGCGTCTCGCCAGCGGTGAGGCCGTGCCGACTTACCGTGTACATCGCAACGCGACGAAAGGCGAGGTAGCGCGACGGCCGCGTGGCTCGGAATTTAGGCGGATCCCAGGCACGGTTGACAGCTCCCCGTGTCTGTCACCGCGGCCATATTGCGCTCTCGGGAAACGTCGGCGGACCCGATCTGGGGAAGGAGCGCGCGCACGCCGCTCGCGCTGCCCCTAGAGACCATTGACTCTCTCTCGACGCTCTCTTTCGCTCGCCGTGGAGCCATGTTCCTCCGTCAGCTGCGGACCCCTGAGCGCGCGAACTCACGAGGTACGTGAACTCGAATTCGGCTGGCCTCGAGAAGAATTTCAAATCATACGGCTGAGCGTTTCCCTCGTTATCGAGGGTCCTTTTCCACCGCTCCTCGATATTTGCGCGAGCGTACGATTCGAGAAAGGAATATTCGAAGGAACATGGCGTCCGGTTCTTCGGCTCAAGGGGCTCCAGCCGCGAGATGCATCTCTGCGTGATTCACTCGTGCCGACGCGTGAATGGACGCAGTCCGAGTGAGTCACGAGACGCACGTGCTCGAAACTTCGACGCTGTTCCCGCGCTATCGTCATCGGCGATCAAAGTTCGATAACCGTCTCAGGGATCGTCCGAGGAGCAGAAACGGTGACTCGTCAGCGCTATCATCCGCTCAGCCTCGTATCCTTCGCGCTCACTTTAACGAGTACCGCGAGATGCCTTATCTCTTATCGCGCGATAATTGCGCGACCGTTCGATTTCCGATAGCAACGTATATATTCACGGACCGAGATATATGCGCGAGAGAGAAGGAGCGAGGAAGGAGAGGGATTGATTATTGAAATTCGCAATTGTGCAGCGAGGTAACACCGAGGCGTCCCGTATATTACGTACGCAATTCGCGCGACGTGACAGACCGACTGCTCGCGCACATTCTGAAGAGGAAACCGGCGCGACACAATGTGCGGCACACGTACCTGTCAAACGTAGACCACTCGGCGACTTCCTCGTGCGCATCGGCGGCCGATTCAGTGCGTGCGTTCAGCTGGAAAACGGTGCGTGTCGTCCTCCATTCTCAAGTCGCTGATTCACTCCGGTAATCGCTCGCCTCGTCTTATCGGCGAAGACTATCACGTATCGGCGGGCACGCGGCGAATACCGAGTTCCACGACGCGCGACGTGCGCCGTACAGTTATTGAGTAACAGCTGGGTTGACACACTTGGGACGGGTACTCGGGGAAATGCTTGCGTTAGAATCAACGCCTCACTTTCCTCCTTGACGGCGAGCGAACGAAAAATCCAACTCGTCTCCTTCCTTTCCGTCCTGTCGATCGCGGCCGAGGGAATTCTTCGTTCGAATTCGCCGCGGAAATAATCGGTTTTCTTCGCCGGCGATAAACGCCGATATATCGACGAGATATCGCTTTTCCCGTGATCGCCCCGAAGAGAAAATGCGTGATGTCGTAGGTAAAAAGTGTGTATTCCTTTTTATTTATTATTGATTCAGACACATCGAGTTGAATAAGTTGTTTCTACAAACTTAAAAACTTATACACTTATTACATTCAGATCGCGAAGGTTTCGAATGAAATTTACGTAACGCGATGCTGGTTATCGAGGGTGATGACGTAATGACGAAAGAAAACGTTGTAAAAGCTGTCGTTACATCGTACGTTTAACATCTTCGCAGTTATTCCCTCGGCTTGGTCGGGCAAACCATCTCTCCCGCTCGGTTCTTGTCCCGCAAAATTCAAAAGGGAAATGAAGAAACGATCGTATCGCGTATACCGCCGGCGAAAATGAAATAAGCTGTCGATGCGATCGAGTCAATCGTTAATGAGGCGAGTTATAAAACGCGCCCGAATCGAAAACGATTGGCAGCCGCAACTCTGTTTGCCCGATCAAGCCGTCCTGTTTTATCTCTAGGTATATCTTAACAGAGCTTGTATAACAGAAACATAGCTGACTCCCGTCAGGAAACTTTCATCGTATCGTTGAAAATCGTAAGGTCGTTGAGAACCGAGAGCTACTGGTTCGCAGAGCCGTAACTAGGACGTGTGCGAAAAGGAAGGCAACCGAGGAAGGTATTGAAGAAGTGCACGAGATCGTGTGTGCAACACGATCAATTTCGAAAATCAATTATTCAACGGGCCGAATTTCACGAATTCCGGCGGAGAGAGCCGGTAATATATGGGCCGCGAGAAATGTCGGAAGGACCCGTACAGGAGGTGAAAGGATTCTGCACGGAAAAAAAATAAGATCGAGTTGAGTTAACGTGACAATTTCGACGAATCGAACGCGTTCTCGTTGAAGGAACAGAATTTCTACACTGAAAGATAAAGCGCTACCGTTCGAGCAATATTTACTTGACCCAAGTAAAGTGGTTACATTCCAATATTCCTTGGCAAATATTTAAAAGTAGAAATGTAACTGACTATATATGCAATAATGATGCTTCCTTCATAGAGACATTTAGTCGTATGTGTTAAAACAATTGCGACAAATGTTAAATTCATAATATTGAAAATATCAGAGTTTATTTTTAGAAAATATTTACCGCATAGAAAAGTTGAAAATTATGACTACTATATTCCTTCAATATATAAAAGAAGTATTACGTAATTCTAGTGAATATTTTCTTAAATTTAGAACCATTTGATACTTACATTCAATAATTCATTTACAAATCAAGGTGTTGCTACGTTCAAGTATTTGCTACGAGCTATTAGAATAGAATTAAATTGATAAACATACCACTTGATTTAAGAGGCTGAAAGACAGATAATTATGTTTACTTGATTCTAACGTTTCTTTTTCCTGTGCTTCTCATGACTAATCCCGCCAAATTCCGTTTTTAGGACCGGAAATTCGCTTTCCTTCAACCGAAACGCATTTTGTTTGGTTTCCTCGCCATCACGTTAATCCGTTCTTTTCCTCCGCTCGACAGTGAACGCTCCTGCTCTTAATTCCGTTACGTAGATTTTTCTTGATATCTCAAGGACAGGCGCATGGAGGGAGGGCCAATTAATGAATCGCCGTTTATGCGTTCGCGCTCATGAACGAAGACACGCTAGTTACGGCGCTGCACGCGCGCGCACATACGTGGCAGGCTCAACTAAGTCGGTATAAAAAATGCTCCTCCGCGAGAGGCTCGTCGGCCGAAGACCAGCCTCGGTCGAGAAATCAAGCACTTCGATGAAGGCGAACGATCCAGCGTCCCTCAAAAAAGAAACTCGTGTAAAGCGACTCCTACCGTTCACGTGGGCGACGCCGAGTTCGAGAATTGACTTCTTCCCTTCTTTCATTCCCCCCCCCCCCNNNCCCCCCCCCCCTTCTCTTATTACTTCCTCCACATATCCGTCGCGAGTAACGAGCGCCCGTGCAAACGCGGAAACGATCGTGCGAAACGCTTAATCAAGAATTCGAACGCGATTTTACGACCGTTGAATTTACGACGATCGAGTTTATCGGCGGAAAACGCTTCCAGCCGTTCTGCTCGGCTCCTCGCGCGTCCGACGTCCGGAGAAATTGATTTTCACGAGGATAACGCATCGAGTATATTCACCACGGGCGCTTCCTCTCGCTCCTGCAGTCCGCGGAACGAAAATTAACGATAATTCTGACAAATCACGCGCGCATCTAAAGAAGATCCTGGCTCGACGCGAGTAGAGGCTCGCTCGACGTCCCGGTTTCTCTAATCGCATCTACAATCCAAGGTTTCCCAAACTTCGATAAGGTAATAACACGCTGGTCCTCTTTAGCAATATATACGTGCAAGCGTGTTCGCCGTTTGTTTCCCGTTTAATTAATAGTTCCATCTGTCAGAATCAAACTGAAATTCGGCACTTGACCTACTCTCTCCGAGAGATCAAGCGGAGTAACATCAGTTTCACGGTATAGGTATAATTCCGCTTATTAGAAAGCAATTTCGGTAGCCGTGATAAATTATCCTCCGACACGGCAGGAATGTTTTCGTTGTTTTTGCACGAAGTCGCGCCTCACGGGAGGCGTACGGGATGAAAAAATCCGGCCCTCGTTCGCCCCGAGTTTGGGAAACCCCTAATCAAAGGGCGCAGGCTGCTTAGCAGGCGAGATAATCGGATTCCGTAGTATTTATACAAATACGCCGCGATTTATAAATATATAAAAGCAACAAATATATATACCATCGTATCGTGTGTATATATATATATATTTTTATATAATAATAATAATATATATATATGTATATTTTCATATAATATCGTTTTGCAAATGGTACAAAGCCTATGTCGTAACTATTACGTTTAGGATTACGATTGCGGCTGAAAAGAAAAGAAGGAGAAAACAAATCCTGTGTCGTCGTGTCGATCACTAATCGCGCTAACGCGCGCGATCCGCAAACGATCTCGTTTCGTCGGCATCGTCGCTGCAACGTCGTCGATCGATCGCGACAGATACAATGCGCTTCTCGAGTGCATGCGCGCTCTTCAGACCCGAGCGTGCGGGAAGCGCGAAAATGGCTTTTCGCGAAGTGCCACCTCTCGATGCAACCACGTAGCAGCGTGGAACAAAAGTCGCAAGATTGCCTCCTCGCGAACTGCCTGTGAACGCGCTACTTTTTTTTCCCCTTTTTTCCCCTTTTTCTTTCTTTCTTGTTTCCTTCCTTCCTACCTCCCCTTCTTTCTTCCTTTCTTTCTTTTCCTTCCTTTGCGACGTTCCGTCCGTTGCGGTTGCCGACCGCTGCCGCGCACAAATCGGTAATCACAGCGGCGATAATGATCGTTCGCGGTTCGCTGGGAGACGCGAGAGACTTTTGCTTCCCTTTTCCCCTCGGATATTTAAACGAGAGAGAAGGGAGAAAAAAAGATACTTTATATTGCGAGTATATAATATATATATATATATATATATATATATCGTCGATTCTCTCGCGTGATCCCAAGAGTTGCAAGCTCTCCAAGAGGTGTTTGCCGAAGTAGTGAGCTTTTAATTGGAGCTTTAATCGAGCACCGAGCAGCGTCCACACACACAGTTACTTTCCCGCTGGTTAGTTCGCCCCTCCCCCTTCCCGCCGATCGATCATGAAGCGATTGTTACGATACTTCGTGCAACCTGTATCCTCCACCCCGTGTTTCTTCCGCGCGCTCCTCCTCCTTCTTATCCTCCTCCTCCGTGTCCTTACTCTCTTCCTCACAATCATCGATAGGCACAATAAAGGCTTTTTTTTTTATGTCTCTGCCAACGTAAACGAGAAGTACGAAATGTACACAGTGAAGATGGTCTCTCTCTCTCATCGAAAGGGCGACGACGATTCTACCTTCGCTACGAAAGGATTGTGCGCTTCTCTATACGATGAGTTAGGTATACCGATAACTCTAAACAATACAAAACATCCCTTACGCAATATAACGCGGCGACGACGCGCGTGAACAGGACCGTAGGTCAAATCGGATCCGAGACACAAAGATGAAGAATTGCGGATTGACAATTGACTATGGTCTCGTCGAGTGAGAATAAGCTTCGCTCGTTCTCGAAAGCTGCACTCGCGAATTCTATCCGATTTCTATCCGATTTCTCTTACCGTCCCGTCTACGGTGGCGCAAATTGAACAAATTCGCCTCGCGGATAAAAGCGCGCGACCGAAAGGTATTCATATAAAAATCGAGCGATACTCGACGATCGGGCAGCTGTTTTCGCACGTATATTTATAAAAAAAAAAAGCTCCCCCAAACGTTCGCGAAATTAGGAGGGTCGGCTTGCGCCGTTTAGGATCGATCGAGTGATTTACGCCCCGCGTCGAAACGTGTACGTTTTGCAGCGTGTTGTGCGGCAGCTAATCTAATTTCTCGCGGACGAAATCCCTCCCGGATTCCTCTTCGTCCTCCTGCACCTCCTCCGCCTCTTGCAGCCGCAGATATGGCCTGTCGAAAGTGCTTTTCACGCGAAGCGAGATTGAACGTATCGTTGAAACGCCGCAACACGCGGCGCCGTTTCGTCGAATGCAACACAAATCGCCGAAAGTGTTTCATTACGATTATCAAAGCGCATTAATTAAGCGTGGATTATCACGTGTGTCTGTCTGTGTACCGATATGAAGGATTCGATATACAGATGCCAAGTGCCCCGCCGGTATCGATTTGGCCTCGTTGCGAAACTTCGTTTCGATTCGGGATCCGAAAATATCGTTTTTAAAGAATACACGAGAATGCCGACAGCATCGGCGCATATAAACAGCGTTCGCAGTGCTTACGTTACGTCCCCTTGTTTATTCTGATATCTATCCTGGAAGCAGTCGATTTCGTCCTGCCCCTCGGAGCATCGAGAGATTCGCATGCAACGGCGCAATAAGTCGCGACCTCCTTCGGGCTTGTTTTATTTATTATTTGCTCAGATAGAAATTCAAGATGCCGCCGAATTGGCGTTCTCTCCACAACATTTTCTCTCCGCGCAACCTTGCTTCCTTTAACGTGAAATATCTTTGTAACCGAAGCGCGAGCGAAGAACAAAGTAAGCTTGAAATTTTGATCGAGATTCCCGGGAAATTTCTCACACATAATTATATGTAGAATATATATCCACATGTAAAAATATATAATTATATATTACTATATATAATTGTATATAATTATATATTAATACACATATTTATATATAATTATATATAACTGTATCACCACTTTATATATAATTATATCATATATGTAATTATATATGGAAAATTTTTCTCGGATTAAGATTTCTATTATATATATATATATATATATTCAGGTGCAAAGATTTTCTCTCTTAATTTCTCGATTTACGCGACTCAAGTTATTCCGTTGAAGCGACGGCGATTTCTCGCAGTTCGGTTAGATCGGCTGATTACTTCGGAAACGCTCGATATTAAACAAATGCCTGTGCAAACGTTGGCATCTGTGCACCGAGATGATCCTCGACGTAACAGCTAATCGCGCGAGCCCCATCCCGCAAGAAAAGGGTCCTCTGGTCCTCGTTGAGAGACATCGGTGGTAATCGCAAGTCTCATGGTAGTGTCGTTTTCAGACGGTAATCACAATGCGCTTGATGATGTCTTTCTCGCGTAGACATACTAATTAATGGTAACACGTCGATCACACTGCGAAGAAACGTCGCCTTGGTAGCATCGAGAGAGAATGCCTCCTTCTTAGGCCTTATCGATACGTCGAAGCGAATCTAATTGAACGTTTTCTCTTTTTTTTTATCTTTTTCTTTTTATAATCTGCCTACGATACCCAAACAGCTGCGTCTGGCCTGCGAAAGAGTCTAACATCGACGAGATTACATTGTGAAATTGATCGTAGACGCATGGAAAACTCGAATCTCGCGATACCCTTTCCGTCGATTCTCCCCGTGAGCACGCTCCTCGGCTCCGTGTGTGCCGGCTGTTAATACTCTCCCTCTCGGCCAATCCTCCCCGAGCTGCCGCCGCTTCCGGATTTACGTCAGACTCGCGTGGAAACGAGGAAACTTCGCGGCACGCGCCGCGGAAGTTCGGAGCTGACGGCGGATGGTAGGAAACCCCGCCCGTGTCGATGATCAGTCAGATCATCACGCGTAATCATGGGCCGGTGAATGCCGCGTGTTCTCGGCCGATTCTCCGGAGAGCTCGAAGCGTGAGTCGAATCTCCGGTCACATCCACCACGTGGAATCACCTATTGGTAAATGAACCGAGGTGCGATTCCGAACGAAGCTCGAGCGCCGATGTGCTTCCGGATCGTACGGAGAAGACGGCGCGGGCTGCTGCTCCTCGCATGCGCCGCGACGAGTGACGTCCCTCGCGCGATCGTGACGATGATAACCGCCACGACGACCGGTGATCCGCGTGAAGCGTTCGAGGATCCATCCGTCTCGCGGCTCCACGCCGCTCCCTTCGCGTTACACCGTCGCAACGTCGTCGCTTCGTGTGGCTCTCGCGTGTATGTGTGTATGCGTGTGTCTGTCTGTACGTATGTCTGTGTTTATGTGTAATAGGGTGCAGGCTTTACGAGATAATATCTATAATATCCGTTGCGATTATTGCAGATGATGGTGTAAAGTAGTATCGTGAATACTTGCCCGGGCCGCTCTCGCCAGGTACGAACCACTTCTCTCGCTCGCGCGCTCTTTCTCTCTCTCTCTCTCTCTTTCTTTCTTTCTTTCTCTCTCTCCTCCCTCTTTCTCTCTTTCTCGTTCTCTCTCACCGTGAACGCGTCCAGGTCGATTCCCGTTCGACGACACTGACGTCCGCGTATGTACAGATATAGAAACGAGCGCCTCCTCGTGCACGATAAGACAGACGAAACCCCGGGTTTAATACCTAGCCGCCGCCGTCGAAGCCTCCAACGAGCCGAATTGACGAGCTCCGTTGATTGTCCGAACTAACAAGTGCACCTCCAGGCGTCACCCTGCTGAGACGGGGACTGCGCCTTGATCACGCTGTCCGCGCCTTCTCTCTCGGAGGCCTCGAACAGGCTGGCCTGTAATCGTAATCGTTCAATGAGGATCCGAGTCGAAATTTTGTTGTTATGTTAAACTTTTAATTCGGCATCGTAGTAAGAGAGCTAAGATATAAGATATAAGGTAAAAATAAGGTAAAAATACGCTCAACTCTAAATAATACGACATGATCCCTGTCTTGATCCTGATGATGTCTTAAATTTCCGTTTCCGCTGTTTTAGCGTCAAGATAGGTTGTTGGAGGTAGTATTAAAATTGAATTTGCACACAGAAAAAAGATTAGTCTCAGATTAAAAATAGATATTCTCACATATAAAGGAGAGTATTATAATCTGTTTAGTCTTAATTTGATTGAATTTGTATTGATACACTATCACTTGCTTATATATGAGAATATCTATCGTTGATTTACCATTGCTTTTCTGTGTGGAATTAAAGATTCAAGAGAGAAGTTAAAAAGAACGTCGGTATCGTCAAAATAGGTTTCTATCAGTCTACGGGTTGTTTAAAGACGCAAACTACTTGAGAGCGTCAGAATTAGCATGAAAATGTCGGCTCGAACGCTTCGTTAATTGCTTGCTTAATCAGTCGGGAGAGTCGTTCCGCGGCTTTCGAAATCTCCCGATAAATTTCGTCAGTTCTCGTCAATTTTCCCGTAACTGTTCTTCTCTTCGGTATCAATTTTATCCCCACCGCTCTCTTTCAATTTTCGAGCCGTTATCTTGATAATAATTCGAGTACTCTTAATGGAAAAACTTTCCGAGTCACGCGGGGATATAACAGAGAAGACCTTTTCGATGCAATAAAAGGAGAGGATAACGAGGGAGGATTCAACGCGAACAGGTCTTACCCGCCGGCCCCGTTGTTCCCGTATCCTTCTGGCTAGAGTGAGGAAAGCTTCTTCGATATTTATGTTCTCCTTGCACGATACCTCGAAGAAGGGCATATCGAAGTTCTCCGCGATCTTCTGACCTCTCTCGGCGTCCACGGCGCGGTGTGCGGTCGCGTCGCATTTGTTCGCTGCCAAAACTTTTACTACGTCCGGTGACGCATTCTGCCGATGCAAACGGAAATGTATCTGTGATTCACGCTCTCTCGCGGGATAATTCTATTACGTGCCGCGCGCGATCGCTTCGGATTCGCGATTGCGGAAACACGCCTCTCTGTCGGCCTTGCGAATTTCATTATTTGCTCTTCCGGTCTACTAGATCAATAATCTCTACGTAAATCATCGCACAGTTTTATCCTCGCGTATGGTTATCGATTCAGTCCCGTTTCACGACATGTTACACGATGTTACGAAGCGTGCGAGCACGGTTTTTGCAACTGCCTCTTAATTCATTAAATGCCGGATTTTAATGCTTAACTGGCCGCGCGTCGCCGTTGCTTTCACAGCCTCGCGACAAATTTCGCGAACTTTCCTCCCGGGTCTCGTGCCGATTTTAAATCGCGATTTTTGTTCAAGCGATCGCTCAGACGCCGCCAGGACTCCCGCCCGAGAGTGATGTTAAGTGTTTGAAAACACGGCCACTTAAGAATTAATATGGCGTGAGGCGTTATTTCACGTGCCGTTCTATCTTTGGAGTGGAATTTAATCTTACTTCTTGGATATTTCGTAGCCAGTAAGACAGATGGTTAAAACTCTCCAAGCTAGTGACATCGTACATCAAAAGGATACCCATGGCACCGCGATAGTACGCCGTTGTCAACGTTCGAAATCTTTCTTGGCCGGCGGTATCCCTTTAAAAATACACACACACACACACACACAGAGATATATTCTCAGCTCTCACGTGCTTTTATCTTAGTTCGTACGCAATCTGTCGTTTCGCGGTGGAGTTTTCAACATTATCGCACTCGCGGGAGCTAAACAGATCTTCGCCGAGAGGCGAGCGACATTTTCTTCCTGTCGACTTCTTTCCATTTTGACTCCCGACGCCGATTTATCGCGCGAAACTGAACTGTCCCTCGAGTGTGGAGTATTAATCGGTACTCACCAAATTTGCAACTTTATCGGCGTGCCGTCTAAGTTAATGATCTTCTGTTTGAAATCGATACCTGCGGAGACATTTGCCGTTTACATCCACCGTGTGCATGCACTTCCGGAATGTGGGGGATTCAGACGGAATTCCGACCGTTCGGGCGAAACACCTTCAAGGGGTACGCGGGTGACTGTGATTACGTCCGCAGACACGGACGTAACAGATGCTATCGCTAATTACGACCGTTGCGACAGGGTTTACACGCAACGAATTCCACGGTTCTTCGCGTGCGAGTAATATAATTAAAGCCTCCGTCTACGTGAGTGAACTCCGGTCTGTCTCAGAACGGAAAGCACGCACACGCGAAATTGAATCGCGAAGTATTTCCGCGCGGGCGGAAAACATATTTCCGCCGTGCTATAATTGCGTACGCTCTCGGAAACGAGGCGTCGTTTCGCTTGATCCGGCTGAATTTAAAATTAAGTGGCTACGTCGCGAAGTCCGAAGCTTGGGGCGGATGCAGCCGGGTAATCAGCTGATCGATGCTGACTCGATATACATTTCGCGGAATACGAGGACGTAACACGATGAATTAGCCGTCGACGAGTACGTCTCTCAATTCTAATTGGAACACGCTTTGTCCTTTGCGAAAACGAACTGTAATTTATGCACGTTCAGCCGAGAGGTAGAGAGAGAGAGAGAGACAGATTGACTTCCATTTCGTATTGTTTCGTAATAAATAAAAAGCAGCAACCTCGCCTGTATAAAATCGGAGTGACGCGAAGAAAAAATTAAAGTGCAACTGTGCGTGCACTTTGTTGCAGTTTACGAGGTATCTGTGCCAGGGACAGATGCGACCCCACTGTATATATAGCGGTCTCTAGGGTTAATTAACGGCTACCTGTATCAACGGTATACACGGCACGCAGCGCGTTCATCCCACTTAGACTCCGGAGTGAAAACGCGTGACTTATCACCGCGCGGAGGAGGCGGCAGGTGAGGTGCTGGCCCGTAAAGTGGTTGTCGCGAAGGTGTTCGTCCGGCCGACCGAAACGACCAGTCACCGAGCACGACTTGAAGGCGATCGCAGCCACAGGTAAACGGGGGTACCCGGTGTATCGCGGTGTACGTATAATGCGCGCGTATATCTCTCTCACCTATCGTCGAGATGTAGGTGTCGTAGTACCGTTCGTCGCAGTAACGATGCACGATGCAGGTCTTGCCGACGTTCGAGTCGCCCAGCACCAGGACCTTGTACGTGGCTGCGAAATCCAACGCCATGTTTGCCGTGTCGGGTGGTCTCGGACTGTTGTTGGGTCGACAACAGAGTCGTCGGCCGGGGGTTGTTCTTCGCGGACGCGCCGCTCGGGGGTGGAGGATCGATTCGAGGCTTGCGCTTTAGCCCCGCGCGTGGGGTTAAAGGTGTCCTCACAATGTGTGCGACATTTCGTCGCTCATGCGCGGCTTTTAGGTGTTAGGACGTACGCGAATGCGGCTCGTGCATCTCTCTTTCTCTCCCTCTCTCTCTCTTTCTCTGTGTGTGTGTGTGTGTGTGTGTGTGTGGAGATGTCGTACAATCGACACGTGACGCGCATGTGTGCGTGATTGTATGTGTGTACGAGCAGACGCGGGCACTTATACCGCCGGTACCGATGTGTGGAGAGAAGATGAAGTCGAAGATCGACGAAGACGACGACGGTGTCCACCGGGAGCGATATGCGACTATCGTTATATATGTTGCACGTACGACGTATAGGAGGACGCATGAAAACTTCCTCTTCTATTTTTACGTTCCTCTCGTCCGAGGCTTCCTCATGTATAATAAAACCTCGTGCATCTCGGTATAACTCGACCTCTGGCGAAGGAGAACCGTGGGTTCGTAAGGGTGCCGACAATAATTAAATGGTATTGGAAATTAGGCCGCTTTATTGTTTGTATTATTAATCAGGCCAACGTATTTTGTCCACTGAAATCAGTGGAACTCAATGTTTACAACAGGTAACTGCGTTCCTCTGCACTCGGGATTTCGCTTTATGCTATAATAAAATATTATCAGAATGGAATTTCGTATTTTTTTTCTTTTTTTAATTTCAATTATTATTTCGCAACGTAATCGCTCTACGTAATGTCATTCGTTTCGGTTTTTTTTTCGAGACGAGAATTATATTCCAAATTTTCTATGTGTTACGCTCTACAACTACACGTGTCTTTAACGCTAGCTTAAAATATCTTGAATCGCCGTCGCGATGGAACGAATAAATATTAACTACTCAAGGAATAGTTTTGGAAATGGCTTCGTCGCTACTAAGCGCGCCCTACGGTAAACACGTAACAATGGTAAAATCAACCTTAATACTTTAGTTTATGCAAGCCGCACTCATCACTCGTCTCATTACTCGATCTACCTTTAAAGATATGTGTGTTTATTTGGATAATACATATTTTATCGGTCGAAGAGGAAAAAACAAGCTCCTAAGCGGATCTAAGATCAAGACGTGACGTTAGAAAACTGGCATTTGCAAATCGATCTAAGACATCCTGATAATTCCGGAATTTCTCCCTTCATTGCTATTACAGCGTGATATTATTTTAAAGTAATCGTCCATACCTCTGCCGTGGTTAAAATACGCGAAAAGAGTGCATCTTCATTCTTGCGATCGGTTGCCGCGTCAGTCAACACAATAGTATAAATAATATATATACATTATGTATAGGCACTTTAAGCATCTCTCATAATTTACATAAATACAATATAATACTATTATTTATACGATGCATATCGCCATATACATACATACACGTATGCACATGCACGTATGTATGTGATTAATCGACGCTTTTATAAGATCACCGGGTGATTCTGATAAAATCAGCGAATTAATCTTTGATAAATAATACTATTGTAATAGTATTATGCATACGTATGCTACTTTTTGGTTAATAGTGCCGATAATCCCTCCTGTCACGATAACATTCCGCTCGCGTAAACTACCTACACGCTATTTGATATGTTAGCTATTAATGCAATACTTAAATTTAGAGTAACTTTTCAGACACTATTCGTTCGCGATCCCCTCTGTAACGCGCTTTAGATTATAAAAATTTCAGTATTAACAAAGTCTTGAATTACACTCAGTGCTTATCGTGATTGCCGCCCGCTCGCGAGCCTGGTATAAAGACGTCGAAATTTCGCACAGCGAAAAATACTTGATAAATAATAGATAAAAGTCTTATAAGCTCACATGTGAAAGGCCACACGATGAGATAAGACGATAAGGTACCGAATAAAGTGACGAGGATGTGGTAACCTAACGAGAAGAAAATAGGACGGCACGCAACCCAAGCTCAGTCCAGCTATTCTCGGAACACATTCGTTAACGGTAATACTACGTTCAGACGGAACATCCCTTTGTGGTATTAATGAAATTGTTACTGTACCCGCAGTAACAATCGAATTCGTCGCACAGAGAGAACTTTGGCTTTCGTGTTAGGCGTTCTACGTCGCGGAGTTCGGCTATTTCGCAGGAAGAGCATGGTAAACGAATGAAGGCCGTTTTAGAAGGAATGGGCACGTCTCGAGGCCATCGCCGGATCGCTTCTTCCGGCGATATCGTCGAAATTACAAGCATGCCCAAATCCACAGTCCGACCATGACTATGTTTAACATGTATACCAAGTCCCTCGTGATGGTGCATCTTCGGAAAAGTATAATAGTCGAGTATCTCATGCCGTATCCGGGTAGATGATGGCCGCTCTTCCACTTGATCGAGCACAGCGGAACGGCGACGTGGAGGATGTCCGGTATCATCAGCATCAGATCGCGTACGACCTTGGCGCAAATCGAATTGATGAATTACGAGATACTTCTCCCACGTGATTATCACACGATCATCAGACGAATCCTTACCTGATGCGCGTATCCTTCCCCCCTGACGACGTTTTGAAAAAACTGATCCCAGCTGGCAGCCAGAATATGCAGAATGGCTATGGCGACTATGGTAAACGCCTTTCTGCGCGTCACGACATTCTTATTGTCCGCCAGGTGGAGGACCCAGAAGGTGGATATTAACTCGGTGACGGAGAAGAACATCTGATGGTACCACTGGGAGTAAAACTCGTCGTTCCAGTAATTTATGTAAACCCACCAGGTGTAGTAGTGGGAGAACACGGTGGTCGCGAAGAGCAGCATCATGGAATATCTGAGCCTCTGCTGAATCGCCAGCCACGTTAAGTACTTCACCGTCTCGTAAAATGAGATCACCCCGATTACTATGGCCATCCAGATTTTCAGCGTGTTCTGCGTGGCGTTGAAATACATGTGCTTGTAGGAAGCGATTCCGGACTCGTACGAGCCTGAAACAGAACGTTCCAATCTTCCAATATAACCGAGCCTGCAACTCCCAGAGTCACATGTATATCCCTAATGTACTTAATATGAAATATATTCCAAGTCTTCCTGCATAAGAAATTTCCTCACCTTTAAACACAGTGTCCCAACATGAACAGGAGCAATACTCCTTGTCCACCACTCTCGAGTATTCTTGCCAAAAGTAAAACAAGGACGCGATGTGCAACGGCGGGATACTCAGAGGTGCTAGGATGCCCATGAGATTTGACCCGTATGTCGCAAAGTTTTTGTATATCATACGTATCATCTTTGGACTTAAGATACATAACCCTCCGGGCGTAGGGATGTGATGGAACGCACCAAGACTGCAGTGAAAGAGAAACCCATGTCAAGAATAGCTGGATTTATCACAGAAAGGCGACTTGAGATTATTCCGGGGATTACCTAGAAGAATGTAAAATCGACGACGTAGACAATAGCACAAGAACGAATAAATTCTATGAGGTATTAACGACTTAGGATCCTACGACTAGCAGGCCCTCATATTTTGATTGGTGTATCGCGTAAAACTGAAAGCTGCTTCATATAAAATATCGTGTTCATAAATTAAAAATATCTCTTATCTTAGATGTATTATCGCCTCGGCAGATAGGTGACAATGTTATGTAACACTGTCCAGTGGCATCGGCAAATGTTAAAAGTGCTTAAAGATAACGGCACTCCGACAGCTCGAACAGGCCCGACTAGATTTTTACAGGTAATTCTATTAATAACTCCGTCTAGCTCGGAGGACATTTTCATCGTGCGCACTTTTACATAGATGATATCCCTCGTGTAAACTACATACTTCTAATACTTCTTTCACATTCCCCCGTGTCAACATTCCAACGCACAATTCCAACATACAACAAAACAGATAAACAAAACCTGCGGCCCAGACGGTCGGCTTGACTCCCTACATTGACGAGCGCTCAGGTACTAAACGTTTATCGGGTGATAAACAAAAAAACTCCGACAAACAGAATTCCGCATCGCGCATATTTATTTCGGCAGCACGGCAATTTTTCTTTCACACGGTGCGTATTATTCGTGCGCCCCGGCGCCGCGAACCGTCGTGAACCCGGTGTTCCTCGGCCGTTACGTCATGGCGATTGATGTGTCTTATTTAGGCGGATGCACGAGCAACCGTGATCGGTGCTTTCCGCGAGGAAACACCTCTCTCGAGTTCACATGCCAATGAACTCGACGACTTCACGAGCAGGCCTTTTAACAGAGAATGAATGGTCTCGTAAACATCTGCTCCGGGTATACACGATGCAACGCCATCTGCGTATTGTTAAGTCGCTGACAGAAACTTCTGAAGTTCGGAATAACAGGAAAAGTTGCACCCGAAGCGCTCGTCCGAAGTTTCCCGACCGTTGAGAGCAGACATGGATCAACCTCGGTCGTTGCTATTCAACGTGTTGTGCGAACGTGCTGTTAGAGATTTCCATAAGAAAAATTGCATTTTAATGCATTTGTGGTGTATTCGTTTGGTAGACAATGTAAAATGCGATAAATGGGGCTCACTTAGTTGCAACTGATATTATAGGAAGCTTCGTTGCTAATCGCTGCCGATTGAAGGTAGATCGCAGGTGCGGCTGAACGTGCGAGATACCGGCGACCGAAAACTTAGCGTCCTGCTTTTCGCACCGTTGATATGCGACCGTTTCTTTTCCGTAAAGCGATTCTCCACACTTCGGTCCTGCTGTTTTTCAAATTTGCCCCGACTGTGTTCAAATTATAAAGAATATGAAGATGGAAAAAATTGTAAAATAAAAATTATCGACGTTGCGACGATCTGAACATCGTTACATTTCGTTGCGGAGCTTTTCAGAATTCTGTTTTAACTTCAAGTTAAATGCATTTTATTCTTCTCGCAAAAGAACGCTCGCAATATTGATTCAACGACAAATTGATCAAATGTAGTTCGCAAACACGCGTTAACACGCGCAAACACGCGCTAAATTCCCAGTTTACGCACGGCGATTTCGTCGGATTGTTTTTAACACTCGTTTCGTTTTCATCCACTTACAGTCTTCTGAGAATCTTGTGTAAAAGATGTCACGAAGATACAAAGGCACGAATTACAAGTTATGCCGTTGCTGCTACAAATGGCGTTGTCGGTGTCTAATACCGCGTCAGGCGAAACCACATCCGCCCTTCAACAGCGAGACGAAGGCGTTCAACGAATTAGGTTTACACCCTAAAATGCGAACTCTCGCATCAGATTCACCGGCTGTAGGCACTTATTATCCTCGACCGATCGAACGCAAACCTGAATCTATAAGGTAAAGGTCGAGTTTACTTTTATGCACTCGAAATGGCGCGAAGAAAGCAGCCGGTAAAGAAACCGGAATTATGATACAGTTGGGAGAGGAAAGAAGAGACTGAAAGGTTTTCCGCCACGATGGACGGTCGTCTAACCGAGGAGGTCTTGATGCAGCGAGAATTAATAAAAACTGGGGGTGGACCTGGTACTTACGACATGCTTCGTTGGCCTGAGACTACTTTGGGAGATCCTTGCAAGAGTCTGTGGGAGAACATCGATTTCGGGACGGTGCCACGGTTTGAGCCTAGATACAAGTCTACCACACCTGGTCCAGGTGATCCAAATAATTCGTCGGACTCTAAGAGATGATAATTAAATCGTCCCGATGAAATATTGATAAATTACGATCGAGATATATTTTTATTTCTACTCTGGTTTGTAAAAAAAAGTCCCCTGAATTTTAATCAGGGTCGGGGTTGATCTTTCGACTCTCTTTCACTCCTTTTTTTAAAGGATACACCCTCCGAGTGCACAATCCGTATTATTACTTGGAACAGAAAAGATTGAAAGGTTTCTCTCAGGTACCAACGTTCGAGTTTGATTTAGCACCGAGATTCCGAGAAACTAAAAGAAGTTGGTCTCTACCGTGCAACAGGTAAGAATAAAAGAGCCGTCTGAAATAATGTCGTTCTTCTAAATGTCTTTCACACACTCCTCTATAGTTTGAAATCACGAAAGAATGCATTTCTCGTCACAGGTATAACGTGAGGCATCCGCACTCGCTTGAAGCTTTTCTTAAAAAAGTCACGGGCAAAAGAGGGCCTTACGATCTTTTTACAGGTGTTAAATGTTTTATTTTGTTAACCTATACATGTTCATTATTTTATAAATTATTTCAAAAAATGATAATGAAGTATGTTTGAGAGTTAATTCTTTCTCCAAATAAGAATTTAAAAAATATAGATTGATAAGGTGTTATTCTACACTCATATCTCATTTTGAAACTTATATTAAAAAAATAGAGAGATTTATACACGAAATAGAAAGCTCGTACAAATGTTTAATTACAATGTTCGTTAACTTTGAATTCGTTTCAAGGACCGAGAGATGAAACTACCCTCAGAGGCGTGCTAAGGGTACGTGAAAAATTACCGGATAGCGGGGACTGGCCGCGGAAATTACCAAGTGAAATGGAAAAACTTTTGAGCAAGTCCAATTATTTCAAAGGAAAATGGACCACCAATCCCAGGTATTTGGATAAATTATGATATTTAACAAACGAAGGAATAAGTAAAAAAGATTATTAGCCTATGAGAATTTTTCCCGCTGAAAATAGTTAAATTATCATCATAACAATTTAATCACGAGATTTCGAATACTAGCACTCGTGTCTACACTTCCGTGTGTGATTGTGAAATTTATTTTGATTTGGAGAAACGTTTTTCTGAAGATTTCCAAAGAAGCCAGTCATGAGGATATTGTTACAAGATATCAGCACGTGTTATAAGAACCCCGATGAACCGGGACCAGGTCATTACGACCCCCAAATACCTCGAAAGCCGAGCACTCGTAAAAAATATCCTTTCGATAGCAACGTGGAGTTTGCACATCCCCTTCCGCCAAGTGACATTCGTCCTGGACCAGCCAGATACCAGATTAAACGCGATCGTATCATAAAAGGACACGGGTGGACGTCCATATTCAAAAGCAAAGCACCTAGAACGCTCAGCATTCATAAGCCATCATATAAATATTTCTAATACTTACATTACAATTAAACCAAAAAAAAATCAATAGTGCATTAATCAAATATTTTCATTCTACGTTTTATATAGAAGACAAGTTTCACTACCTGTGATCATTCATAGCCGTACATTTTACTTGCTGTTGTTAGATCGAATTAGCCAAAATATAAGACTCCTTGTACACGTGGATTCAGCTTTGCTTAGCAGCCGTCGATTATAAATATAACGAGTTCTAGAACGCGTTATAGCATCCGCGGTAAATCGCGTAATGCCAGCTATCCACGCGACGAGGCGCGTACGAGCGCTCCACGTTAATTCCAAGATCCAACAATCATTCGTGATTGATCGTTCGAATTATCTCGGCACGATGTGCCGGCGATTCCTCGTTTTTCCGTCGACGGTGTTCCCTGACAGAGGCGCGAGATTTCGTGCCAGGTGGAGAGTCGTAGCAGGAGCCTTCTCGGGGGATAATAATGCACCGTGTGATTACCCGAACTGCACCGAATGCATAATTCATACGTATGCCACGAACTTTGAACCGGCTGCACGGACCGTGTCCTATCCCCGCGCGTAGAACCCGCGTAATTGCATTTAACCGTTTTCCAACGACCGCCCCTTTCATTTAGGCCCTTACCGCACACGTCATTCGTTTGTTATGGAACGCCCGGGCCCTTCTCTTCTCCCTCCTTTCCTCCAGGCGGCCTTAATTGCCGCAATAAAACGAGACAGAATTTATTGGATCGTATGCGCGACGCGTTGGCGCACAATGCTGAAAAATCGTCCGCGGCCGTGTGCGATTTCGTGCACTTTTATGCAATTCGGATCAATGCGCCGCGCGAAGCTTTCAGTCGTGACGAATAATTGTCGCAAGACAGAAAACGTAGAATACGAGCTAGACGACATTTTTGGATGACAGATTGTTGAACAACGCCACATTGCATTATGACAGTTATTATGCGCTCTAAGATGAAGGCACAGGAAAGAAGGTTGAAACATTTTTTCTTTTTATAAGTTTTCGGACGCATCCTTTGTCTTTCTTCTTATTAATTTGTTTATTTGCTAAGAATAAAATTTTATTTCGCCGTATTCAAAGCTCCGAAGTAATCGCTGTGTCCTTGTTTAATGACGTCAGAAGAGAGAAAACGTATGCAAAGATTTTTTGTGTTATACTTTCAAATAAGATGTATCCACAAAATGACATGCGTGCTCGATTCAGCAAACTTGTAAAATTGGACGAACACTCTTATTCGAACAATCAATAAGCATTCGTAAAATTAACATTTACCAAACTATGAGAAAAGAGGTTAGAAAAAAAATTCCATCAAGTTAATTTTATGACTATTTATTGATTGTTCAAGTAAAAGAAAAATGTTCGTCTAATTTTACGAATGTGTTGAATTTATCACAAATGTCATTTTCTGGATATATCTTTTTATTTGAAACTGTAAAAAATCTTAGCATGCGTTTTCTCGCTTCTGACATTATTAAACAAGAACATTCACAGCAATTACTCTGGAGCCTTAAATAAATATTTATTTCTGTGAAATAAACCCTATATTTCATAAATAAATATTCATGTCCTTTTTCTCAGTGTGGTCGATAAGCTCTTGCATTTAATTGAAGTATATTTTTAAATCTAAGAGAATATACCAATTGAATGAAAAATTTCATTAATTACGGTTATTACTAAACTGTTAGCTAACTAACGTTACTGTGTAAACAAAATCTCTCTTTCTTTCGCTAAAATGACATTCGTTCAAAGAGTGCATCTCAAAACATACACTGAGAAACTCATTTAGTTGACTCAGACAAAATTCTTGTTTGGATATGAGCAAACGTTTTGGTTGTGAGAATCAAAGTTTACTTCTCTGAACTAAAGATTTCCTTCTTTGAAACCAAAATGAAAAGGGTTTGGTTCAGAAAATTAAATTTTGATGCGCACAACCAAAACCTTTGTTCGTCCATATCCAAATAAGAATTTTGTTGAGTCAAATAAATGGGTTTCTCAGTGAAGCGAGAACTAAAAAGTGAGCAAATTCATTAGGTGTTGACCGATGAAATTACAAACATTCTAGTAAATTCATTCACTTTTGCAATTCTCACAACGTTTTGAGACACATAATCGACCCCCTGGACCAACTAGGTACACGCGATTAAACAGGATCGTATCATAAAGAGACATAGGTGGCCGCCCGCCAACTTCAAAAGCAAAGTCCGTAGAACAATGAGCGCCATCATATAAAGACTTTCTTTATATCGGCACACGCGTATTTAACTTACGGATAATAAAACGCGGAGCACCGGAAGCATCTTCCGTGCGGAAAAAAGGGAAAGAAGAAAATGAGAAAATTTCTCGCGGCGAGCCATATGGCTGGGATAATTTCGTAGATTGATGGAGAATTTCACGGAGCAACTGACACCCCGTGTACGCATTCCCATAGGCGGCGGCGTCTACGTAATGCGGCTGTCGTGCGTGTGGGACGCACGCATTAGTTACAAGGGCAAATTAATCGGGACGCAATTAGGCGCTAATAACTTTTTAATTTACGACACCAACGCGTTTCTCGCAAGATCGATCTACCGTTGGCCGTCGGGTTCGTTCACCCGCGATGTCGCAAGAGGATAAACCGCAGTGTGACGTTAAAACGATGTAAAATCACCAGACTACGAGTAATAATTTCTCAACCCGAAGGAAAGAGAAAACAAATGTCCGAGCAATTTATCTCTTATTATCGTCTTTCTTATCGGCATTCTTGTCAGTTCGCTCGTTGTAACACTACCAACTTTTTTCCAAGTCGTCTCGCGCGAAATTGGATTCTCTCCCGAGTCGATCATTATCTTCGCACGACAAGTTAAAGTTTGGGCCTTAAATTCGAGGGAGAAGGAAAAGAGGTGAGGTGACGTACGATCGATATACTCGAGGTATATACGACCGCTAGACTTTCAGATTGACACCTCTGCGACAGTTCTGAATGAACGTTATGAAACGGGCATCACACAATTTCTATTCAACGTTTCCAAATTGTTCCAGAGACTGAATATCCTCTCATGTCCGATCCACGCAGGTAAGCTTCTTGAATAGAATTCTTCGAAGATCTGTCAAAAATCAATTCATCTCAGTGCGACGGACGAACTTCTCTCTCTCTCTCTCTTACATAGTGTCGCGTGGCTGTGCAAATCGCCTCTTCCCGTCGAGGCCTGGCAATGTTCAATGAATTATCATGACAAAGAATGACATAGCCACACAATAGCATTACACCGTGTCATCACTACCGTTTCCTCGCAGTTCGCCTCAGGATCACGTAAATCTTTAGTAACAGTCCTATTTCGATTACTTTTCTTCATTCTTCTTTTTTTCCTCGTTTCCTTTCTCATTTTGCTTCTATCGACAACTTTACGTGAAGGTCCACTCCCCACGGGAGATTCTTTTGAGGACGCAGGTTGACTATATATCGAAAAGATGTCATAGGCACACGCCTCTCTGATTCTTGTTCAAGGTTCCCATAAGCAACACACACACACACACACACACACACATACACTCACAATTGAGAACAAGTCTTTAATAGTCTCGATTTACAAAAATGCTTCACCATCCAGAGTAGCGTTTTTTTCCTGATACTATTCATTAAAACACAATCGCAATGGTCACAATAGCGATCACCCCCCTGAAGCGAAAACCCTCTTATGTAGCTGCACGAGGCAACATTTTAAGATTGTGCGTTGTTATTGGTGTTCTCGTACGCCAGAACATAATATTATAAATTATTATAATATCATTAAATTAAATTATAATATTATTAAATTAAATTATTAAGTTATTTATAAATTATTATAATATTTATAAATATTTTATAAACTATACATTATTATTGGCCGGCGCTAAACGTATCTGCCAAAAGCATGTGTGCCCTGACACGAATTCCTCATGGTCGCCCCTGTGTCAAGACGATGATGATAACGGGAGTATATGGTCAGTAGATCAATATTAAAAATGATTATAGCTAGGTTAATGAAAGACAGGTTCATCAAGGACGAGCGCGAGGTAAGATTAAATGGAAATTGATAGAGAGGGGAGAACTGAATGGCGAATTCCTGTGAGATCTTCGTTCACAAAAATGGGAAGAATGGTAAGAGGAAGTTATAAATCGCAGGGAAAGGAAATGTTTTCGAGTGGAACGATGGAACGAGCCCGAACCTGGCTGAGGGTATATCCTCGAGATGACCGCGATCGTAGGGGCTCGAGCGATCGAACGGAAGCGACGGTCCCGCGCATTGCGCGACAGCGGATTATCGATGCACACGTGCCTTTTGTGAAAAAGTTCCGCCCATCGGGCATACCGTCGGTGCTTTCGCTCTCGGGGGCAACCAGGAAGGCCGCCATCGAGGGAGGTGTGATACGTTACAGCTGGTTAAACAGCTGTGGGGTGGAAGGATAGCCGTGAACGCCGCGACAAATTTCGGCACCCACCAGAAAGCCGCGTATGAAATCGGAGGAGGCTGCCCTCTTTTTTTTCATCCCGTGTGCATTCGAGAGACTCACTTCGAACTTATTTCTGGCTGTTTTACGACAAGATGTGGAGACCTCGGGAGTGACGACTTATCGAGGAAGGTGCGATCTCGGCGAGGTAACAAATCGCTGATCGTTTGGTGCGTGTATTGGGATAGTCGGGAAATTCGGTTTGATTTTTGGGTTAAACTTGAATTTATCGCATTCAACGGAAACAAATTATTCGTCAGTCGAATAATCGTTATCTGAGTCAACGTTGTGCATGAATCTCCGGCAGTATTCGTACATTTTTTCGTGTGAGACTTCACTCCAAACGAGTGAAAATTCACTCCATGTGATAATAAAAATACCGCTACTCAGAGCGGAGTAATATTTCATTTTTCATAAGAGTGAATATTCCACTCCAATTATAGAGCAAATGGTTCCATTCGTTTAAAATAAGTGTTTCACTCCATTGAATCTTTTATGCCAAAAAGATTAAATTCTTCTAATTTATATTCTTTAA